ATTGTTAACACTTTAAATTGAGTGAAGGGAACAGAGATAAAAGACTTACTCTTATTTAACACACTGTTACAGAACCGCCACTAATCACGAGAACCAAATTTGTTAGAAGCTATACAGTCACTCATTCTATCAGCAAACAAAGACTTAGCCATTTTGAGGACAGGTTTACAATTATTTAGAGCAGACACAAATAGGTGTATGTGTGATCGGAATTATCACGCTGGTACAGCTGGAAAAAGTGATTCCTATGGTTATAGCGGCTGAACCAGTCGGAGACGATATTGCAAGAAAATTAAGATTAAAGTCAGTGAACAAAAGTCCCAATTGATGTTTTCATGTCAACTAATATAAAACCAGGAAGGAAAATGACATACAAGTTTGAATTCTTCATACCATGAGAAAAAAGCCTGGAGCTTGCATGAGCCACACACACACGCACACACACACACATGTGAGTGCAGAGTGAAAATGGAGGGTAGAGAAATTAGCTTAGGCTAGCAGCAGCAGTAGCAGCCACCACCACCATGCCACCCAGCCCAACAGGAAGCTCTCCTGATGGAGTAGGACAATATAAATATTACAACAGCAATGCCAGAATAATAGAGCTCTGTCTTCTCCTTCTTTTTATGCACCGTGTCCATTTGGGACGTGGGCGATCATGACTCTCCACAATGTCTTGTAGTAAAGTTGATCTCTTTGCTATATCTCCTCATCCCAGCATTACAGATGACAAAACTTAGTTAAATAATAATAAAAAAAAAGAAATTTGGGGAAATAATTATCAACAAAATGAAAGCCAGCAGGATTAGCTCACATTAGACAATTGTTAAATTATATCTTTTACACACAATATTTCACAGGAAATAAAAATGCACTAATTTCGCACACACACACACACACACACACGCACACACATATGTATTTATTCGGGACGTGGACGATCATGACTCTCCACAATGTCTTGCAGTGTCATAATTTGGTAATGAAATGGCTAAAGACCTTGAGTTGAATTTTAGAGTACTGAAAAGAAAAGAAAAATTAAATAAAGTCACCTCCACCCGACTCACTTTCATTCACCAAAGACAGATCTTTTCAAAGGCGCGGCGCAATTTCAGGGCTTGCCATAGGCATTGCTGTCCCTACCACCCAACCAACTGTAGATATGGTACTTGGCTCGCTAGAACAATTACGACTGAGTAGTGAGTTCGATACTCACTGGGTGCCCCCTAATTTCGGCCTTGTGCCACATCTAGGTTACGCTTGGAAAATCACTATATCTTCCAGCAGAGACGATAATGCAGGAAAATTAAGATTAAAACAGTGAACAAAACTCCCAATTGACGTTTTCATGTCAACTGATATAAAACCAGTAAGGAAAATCATATGCAAATTATTCATACCATGAGAAAAAGGCGTTTGTGAATTGTTTCTTGTCGCTTTCTCCACGTTCTCGAATTCGAAGTTTTCCTCCTCCCAGGCTGGCCGAAGAGTCAATTCTACACTGTGTTTAACGTGAGACTTACATAAAACAATATTGTGAAACGGAATGGTAGATGAACAAAAAATGGCGGCCAAGTGTCTAAAGCAGTGTACCTCAACCCGTTTTCCCCGTGACTCCAGAGTCTCGCAAATGGTCGCTCGGGATTCCGCGAGAAACAGCGATAAATAGGTTTATGCCTTTTTTGAGTAAGTTCTGTTTAATCTTATATACGCAACTTTACGATACACGTACGACAAATTGTTGGAAAATCCTTGGTTTATTACAAAAGGCTTCAAACTCTTCTTTATTTAAAATTATTATGTTTTGCCTACCTCTCTGCGTATTACAGTTCTCCGTGTCCTGAATAGCAACCGGGTTTGCTAGGCATAGCCACCCTATGTTCGCCAGTTGTTCTCTATTTGTACTTGTCTATCTAATTTGCATACGATACTACAATTATTAATAATAATAAGCAATATATTTTACGATGCCTATATGATGTAAGTGTGAAACCGTCTTTCCTAGTTAATGGACAGTACCTGTTCGTGACGGATTCGTGTACATTGAGTGACTCATTTGAGTACAACACGAGTGCCCATATATTATGGTGAATTTCAAGCTTAGATCTGACCCAATGTATGGTAGGACGATAAACTACATCCGGCAGCAATGGGATGTTTTGAGGAGCGTGGAACCAACTCTTAATTACTGTTGTTTCCAGGTTTACCTTGAGCCGGGGTGGTAGCACCTGTTAGGGTTCCAGCTATCGGCATATTGTTATCCCCCACCCAAACTTGGGCCAAAACACTATGGCAGTATAAAAATGAATTTTTGTAGCAAAAGTGCCAAATAATACATTTATAAAAAAAAATATTACCAGCAATACATTTAAAAAAAAAAAATATTGCCGGTGATACATTTGACTCTCGACAAAAACCCTCTCTACAAAAATACGTCAATAAAACCTGATCTACAAACTGATTTCTTTAAAAAAAATTACATATTCTATTCATACGAACCTATCCTAAAAATCTTGTCGGTATTAAATAACCCATTGAGATGTTGATATGCCGTAAAACAAAATAAACCAAACCAAATATATGGCTAGCACTCACAATTCAGTAATAACTGATCTAGCGAGACAAGCTTGTTAACCATTACACTACGTCAAAGTGATTCAGTAAGCGTAGCTTAGTTGTGGCACAAGGCCGTAAATATGGGGTACCCAGTGAGGATTGAACTACTCAATCGTAAAGCTTGTTCGCCATTACACGACGTCAAAGTGCCTGAGTGATTTACTAATCGTAGCTTAGTTGTAGCAGAAGGCCGTAAGTATGGGGCACCCAGTGAGGATCGAATTTACGATTCAGTCGTAATTGATGTAGCGTGATAAACTTGCTAACTATTACACTATGTCAAAGTGCCCGAATGAAACACTAAGCGTAGCCAAGTTGTGGCAAAAGGTCATAAGTATGGGGCACCAGGTGAGGAATGAAAGAGGCAGGCATTAATAATCTCTATCTATAAAAGGCAGGATGTGTGTGTGTTAGTGTGTGTGTGTGTGTGTGTGTGTGTGTGTGTGTGTGTGCAACGAATGCACGGTCGCAATTTTCGACTGATTTGCACCAAAATTTACATGCACATGCTTCAAGTTAGCGGAAAGGCCAAGACCGACTTTGCATATCCCAACTCACCTCGATAGTGGAAATAATCGATTTTCTTCATCCTTCTAAGGCAGTTTTCATGTAGTTTGCGGCCATTTTGTATTGGCCAGAGAGGAAGCCACGAATAGGCAGAAAGATTCTATTGGCCAGCGTGAGAGCCAACAGCTGACTGACACGAATGTTAACTAGCATGCTAGCATGCAAAAAAAATCGATAGCTGCATTCGTCACAAGTGGGAAAAATTTAAATCTGCATGGCACTTTACTCCAATTGGCTCATTCGCTTGCTTAAACTCAACGTTGATTCTGATTCCGCAGAACTGGGTTGGGTGTGAAAAAGTATTTGTTGTTAACATTCTTTTTTCATTCGGTTTTTCCAGTTACGAGTCCTTTTTTAAAGCTGATCGTTTTGTGTTCATTTTGTTTAGTTCTTTTTTCGTAACAGATTTAATGTTTAGTATAGAGCTTAGAAAAATTCGCAGTGTGAGATAGGCAAGAAGTAAGGCATGTAGCAACATCAGCACGGCAAAGGGCACTCCTTTAAAGGCAAGGAAGGGCAAAAAGATTTTAAGTCAAGTGATAGCTATTGCTGTATGAGTCGTACGATTTTTGAATCAAGCACGGGCAACGCTGGGCCATGTTGCTAGTGGTATCTAAATATCTTTATGCAGGGCTTCCCTGAGACGTGAAAACTATTTCAAGAGTGGCACAAGGCTAAACAAGTTGAGAAACGCTGATATAAAATGCCAATTCTACACAACCGTTTTCTCAGCTCAAAAAGATAGATGATCTGTACTGCTAAAGCACGAATATTTAGCAAATGTGTGTATGTATCTTCATCGATATTTTCTATAATGAGACCCAGAAAGATAACATATATTTTTATACACGTGGCACACGTGAAAATAATTATCCTGACATTTTTTTATGTGCTGTAAAATGTGTATATTTACACGGAGTGCTTAATTGAACATTTTTGGAGTCGCAATAAATTTTAATTTAAAACAAGGCTGTGTTTAAGTATATACCTAAGGGGGGTAGAAAAGATAGAAAATACGAACCATTAATCAAATTTGGTCCAAATGACTTCAGAGGTTAAGACATTTGTGCGTGCATTTGAGGATTTGATTTCATCAGGTTTAAATTTTTATTCAGGCTCAATATATTTCATCCGTTCATTTTGTTCCCGTCTTTCACTCAATTTTCTTCATTTTTTTTCCATCGTCATCGTTTTAGTTTCTTTTAAAACGGCTACATTTTTCTTCATTTTTTTCAAGTTTTCTTTCTTTCATTTCAATGTTCCTAGATTTTCTTCCTTTCATTGTTTTTTCTTCCTTTCTTTCATTATTTTTCATGCTTTCATTCTATTTTCTTTCATTCTTTTATTCTGTCTATCTTTATTCATTCTTTCTTTTTTCTTTCATTCTTTTACATTCTCTCCTTCATTATTTCATTCTTTCTTTCAATATTTCATTCCTATTCTATCATTCATTCTTCCTTTCAACCAAAATTTCTTCACAGTCTCGTTTCTTCTTTCCATATTAATATCTTTCCATCCCTTTTTTCGTTCTTTTGTTTTTCTTTCTTTCATTCTTTCTTTCTATCTTTATTTATTCATTCTTTCTTTCATTCATTCTTTCTTTTATGCATTTTTTCTTTATTTCATTCATTCTTTCTTTCATTCTTTTATTCTTTCTTTCATTCTTTTATTCATTCTTTCATTCTTTTATTCTTTCTTTCATTCCTTTATTCTTTCATTCTCTCTTGTTTATTCTATCCTTTATTCTTTCTTTCATTCTTTTTTTCTACCAATATTTCTTCCCAGTTTCGTTCCTTTTTTCCTTGTTAATATCTCAGCATCCTTTTTTTTCGTTCTTTCGTTTACTTTCATTCTTTCTTTTTTCTTTCGTTCATTCATTCTTTCTTTCACGCTTTCATTCTTTCTTTCTTTCAACCAATATTTCTCCACTGTTTCTTTCCTTCCTTCTTTCTTAATATCACTCCAACCCTTCTTTCTTTCTTTCTTTCTTTCTTTCTTTCTTTCTTTCTTTCTTTCTTTCTTTCTTTCTACCAATATTTCTCCACTCTTTCTTTCTTTCTTTCTTTCTTTCAATATTTCTTCACTGATCGTTTCCTGCTGTCTATATCTTCATTCATTATTTCTTGTAAATTCCACTCCGTATCCCAGACACGGCTTCCCCAAACCCTCCTCATCACTCTTGATTATTATTATTATTATTACTATTATTATTATTATTGAGACAGAAGTATGCGAAGAAAGTGGCACTGGAGAACTAATGTACGTAGCCTAAAATATCCATCCTGAAACCCGGTCTGATAAGACTATACCAGGTACATTCATCACAGCCAAATAAGATGACAGCTTTTGATAACATCAGCGCATAACCTTTCAGGTGAGTCCCTGTTAGATAGACTTGCAGATCGAGCAACGCAGTCCGCTCAGGCGGTCTCCCAAGTAACTCGATTTAAATTCCTGGCATCCTCATTCTTCACACTAAAAAAAAAAAGAGGAACCAAAAAATAACCTTTGACATACGACCTTGAAGCACTACTACGACTCCCGTTAATGAATAGTAGAGTGCATCGATCCCTAGGGCACAAGGCCAACTCATCGAGGGCAGGAAATTGATCCGAGGCAAATCTGTGATTATCTTAATTCGATAAGGTAACATATGTCCATGCTAAAACCACTAATCAATTAATCTCAGAAGCCATGAGAGCCATGCTATCAAGTCATTTATTATTATTATTATTATTATTATTAATGTTCACATTCGGAAAAATAATCAAAATCTACCGATCTTTCGATTTTAAAACGCATGAGGATGTTTACTAAGTTGTTTGATTAATTCCTCTTAGTAACGAATCAACGTAAGGAAAATTCCAAGATGAACAAGATCGCCATTATATTAAACACGTTTCAGTTTCATGCCTTCACGCAGGCAGCATTTCATTCTTTTTGACGTGTTGATTACCAGTACAGCCGTTTTTTCATTACAAGACAAGCAATTTTTTAGAATTTTTAATGTCCTTATTTTTATTTTTATTTTTCTTCTTCCGACAAAATTAAGAGGCTCTCTTTCTCTAAGGTAAGTAGAAGAAATAATAACAGAGCTGGTAAAAAAAAACAGTCTAGGAGAAGGAAAACTCCGAATTTTCACCCCATGCAAGGCGGGAGTGCTACTAGCACGCAAGGCGAGTAAGGGTAAAGAGGTTTGAAAGAGGAAAGGATGAAGAGAAGGACGGGGAATAGATGAAGGCATCTGGAGATGTCGGTTGACATTGCATTTGAATAGTTGGAGTTTATATCTATCAGGGAAGCAAGTAAGAGGAAGGGAGTTTCACAGACGGGAAGTGCAAGACATGAAGCTATTTGAGTAGAAGAGACGATCAAAGGTCTTCTTGACAAATGCATAATTTCTCTTTGAATATATATCAGATATTTTCACTACAGAAAACTCTTCGCATAATCACCTGTCTTAGAAATGAAGAAAAATAGATTATTTTTTTTTAAAAAAGAATTAAAAGAGTTTCCAGTCACACTTTGGTCTTCAAAAATTTAAATCAGAAATCAGCTGTCTTCTCAATTCCTGTTCTTTTTAGCGTTCTCTCTCTCCCCTCAATAATTTTGAATCAGTTTTGATTTGGTTTGTTATATTCCATTACACGCAGATACACTATTATTTTAAGCATTTCACCCCAAGCAAGGCGAGAGTGCCACTATCACGCAAGGGGTTACAGAGAGTGGGAACAAGATTAAAGAGACTTAATTGAGGAAAGGATAAAGAGAATGGCGGGGAATTAGATCAAGGCATCAGAAGATGTCCATTGACATTAAATATGAATATTTGAAGACTATAGCTATCAGGGAAGCAAGTAAGAGGAAGAGAGTTCCACTACCTGGAAGTGTGAGACATGAAGCTATTGGAGTAGAAGAGGCGGCTACATTTAACTGTTTCGACAGTGTATCATGGTTCCTTACCTATAACTACAGCATGAACTCTTCCTAACACTATGTATACTACGCCTCTCAAGAGAGAGGGTCGAGCCGATAGTAGTTCACTCCAAAGCAGACTGACAGTCATACTAACACCTTCCGCATCTTGTATTATTATTTCGTGTAATATACCTTCGTTATTTCTACTCTTGTGTTCGTGTTGTTCTTCCTTGGTCCTAACATGGACCATAACACAGTGAAAGGGTGGGACTGAAATGCCAACCTAGTACCACGCTTAAATTCATGCAATTTGGGAACCAGCGAAAGTAGCGTGTCGGAGCAGTTACCGTGAAAGTATTTGTAGAAAAGACAGAGGGAGGCGACAGCACGTCTGTGAGAAAGTGACTGCAGACGAGATGCCAGACCAGCCACATTGCATATCTGGATTTTGTCGAGGACCTTGAAACGAATAAAGGCATGAATCCACCTCTTCTCCTACGAAGGCTTGGGTTAATTAGTAAACCATTATTATCCCCAAATCAATTCTCACAATCGAAAAGTATTTTCTGGCTTTAAATCCCCTGAAATAGGTTGATAAGCCGTAAAAATAATCAATGTTTTTAGTATGGATACTTTATTTTTCTTTCTAAAACCAGTGTGTCTGATATATCCTTTTCTTCCGACTTTTCTCGCTATGAAAACGGAATGGGCCATTATTTATCTGATATCATTGCAGGGTGTAAAGCACGTGCTAACGGAGAAACAAGAACAACAACAACAACAAAACAACAACAACAACAACAACAATAATAATAATAATAATAATAATAATAATATGTAAAATGTGTGATGACCAACAGGAAATGTCATGAAGCCATGTCTGACCTTGAGTCACTGGTTGGGACCCTGAAGGAAATGTTTATACAACAGAAATCAATAGAAATAATAATAATAATAATAATAATAATAATAATAATAATAATAATAATAATTGAGCCCTCGGATTGATTGGAAAAGCTTCTCATAGACTCATTGAAGGAATACTTGGTAGCCCAGGCCTTAAAGAAATACCAAAAATTGTACTAGCAAGTACTGCTCACACATTACGAAGAGCTTTATATAAATGTGTGTGGCCTTAGTTTTTTTTTTTTTTTTTTTTCACAAAAATGATCAGTGGAAAATGTCATGAAGCCATTTCTGACAGTAAGTATCTGGTTGGGACCCAAAAGGAAATATGTATACAAGAGAAATCAAAGGAAACACTACTGCTGCTACTACTACTAATACTACTATTATTAATAATAATACAAACAATAAAATAATAATAACAATTAATGATTATTATTAGTAGCAGTAATAATAAAAAAAAAAAAACGGAGAAAACCGTAGTGGGGATCATCGAATCAATGCGAGCAATCCATTCTTTGGCATTATAGTATGCTTTTCGTCTGGTCTACATACGTTTTGAATTTGCTGTTTTCTTTCTCCTAGACCAGTTCTACTTAAGGATATAAAACCCAGAGTGTTCTGCTTTTTTACCCGTAGCTGGAAGAAGCGATGGATTACTAGCACTTCTTAAATGAATGTAATGAATTCGACTGGAATTCGAACCTTGTTCTGGCGATTCATCAATCTATTACTCTAGCGTGGGTGCGGTGGCAGTACGTATCTCTTTTTTTTAAGCTTTCTTTTCTTCCCGCTTCGAAAAGAAAAGAAAAAAAAAACTGTTGATCTTTTCATTTTCCCTCCACTTTCGCGGTTTTCGTCCTACTGATTCAGCTTTCAACAAGTCATGACTGATCCGATATTTTGCTGAGTAGATTTTTCTTCTTTTCTTTTTTTTTTTTTTTTTAACTGTTTTGTTTACATCCGGGAATGTCCAGATGGCAAGAGAGGTCGCGGGGTGGACGGGCGGAATGACGCCGCATTTTCTTTGAACATTTTTGTAGGCAACATCTCGACTACTTTTCATTTCTAATATCTTGTGGTTGAGAAAACAGATAAGCAGTCTTTTGTCTTATGTCCGATTCCGACTCGCTCGAGTCAGACACGATTAGTATAAATCTAGTTTTATTCAAGACAAATTGAACATCACTGTATGCTATCTGGGCGTATGATAAATACTGGTGTACTTGTTTATCCTTGTAAAATATGTAGCGAGAAAATTGTTCGAAAATAATTATTCGAAAAAGACATTTATTCGAATTGTAAATTGTTTTAATGAAAATTAATCAAACGGACAATTATACCGAATGATAATTATTTTAAAATACCTGTTTGAAATACGTATATGATCTTATTTGGAAAGTGTCAATACTGATTTACCTAGAACCGATAACGCCAGTGCATGATGGCATAGGGCTTTTTTTTTTACAGCAAGTGTCATCCCATCATCCCACAATATGAAAAGTCTTAGACGCTCTTAAAAGAGAACAAGACTTGCAAGAAATTCATATTGCAAAAGCAAAAACAGTTTGCCAAAATATCAAGAGCACCAAGAAATACCGCGACGTAAAAGGAAAACTTAAAAAAAGTAATGGCATCCATTAACGAGAACTTTTCAGTAGCTGATATATTTCAGAAAAGGGTCCACTTCGAAGGAGATTAAATGAAGGATTGATACGTATTGTAGTTTTCGCGATATATTTCAGAAGGGGGTCTTCAACTGATATATAACTGTATCATATAAATTAAGGTTATAAGGATTTTTTTTTCTTACTAAATTGTTTTTATTAACGATATTTGTATTTCGAATAATTATCATTAATGTATTTCCTCTTTTATTTTTGACAATTTTATTACCGTAAAGAATTTTGCATTTGAAATAATTATGATTGTCCTTTCGATTCATTTTCATCCAAAATATTTACAATTCGAATAAATGTTTTGAACAATCATTTTCGAGCAGTCTTCACATAACGCTAAAAAATCAGGTCTGCTCAAAATATATCGTGACTGGTGCTATAAAAAAATAAAACTACAACACATATCAATCCTTCCTTTAATCTCCATCGAAGTAGACTCCATCTGAAATATATCGCCACTGGTGCAATATAAAAGAAAACTACAACATGTATCAATCCGTCATTTAATCTCCTTCGAAGTAGACCACCTTCTGAAATATATCGCGACTGGTGCAATATAAAAGAAAACTACAACATGTATCAATCCGTCATTTCATCTCCTTCGAAGTAGCCCCCTTCTGAAACCACAAACCTTACCCAGTGTTGTTTCCATTATTGGATGCATTCTTGGAAGACCTTTTGGGGATGGCGAACAGTTGCTTCCTCGCATTCTCTCGGATTTCCTCCATATCTTGCAATCATTCTTTCAAGTGGGATTTGATTTTGGAAGAGGAAAACATTGCAAGTAGCGAGATCTTTGGAATATGGTGGTTGCCGGGCCTGGGGTGGATATTGTCCTTTGCCACAAACATCTGCACAAGCCATGGTCACTGATGCAACCTGTGTCTTCTGGGTGAGACGACCACACTCTACACACTTTCCTTCCAAGCACTGTTATAAACAACGCTTGATAGTATCTGGTATAACAGTTTTTTGATTCGGTGGGATAGAGGAAATGGTATCAAAATAAAGTCTGCCATTTTATAAAACAAATTTTAGACAATGGACCATGCTGAAATGTGTATCAAAATTGAATCAAGTGTACTTTCTCTTCAAACTTACGAGTGTTTATTGAGAAGTAAGGTCTCCCATCGTATGATATAACGGTTAGACCAAATGAATAAGGTAGCTGGTTTTTTTAAATAAAGTAAATGTATTTCTTTTCAAAAATTACGAGGATCGACTTGATAAATTAAGTCTCCAAATACGTTTTAGACCAAAAAGAATAATGAAACTTGTTTTTTATGAAGTTGAAACACCCGTTTTCGTACAATCACCGGTAACAAATCGACGAGCCCGGTCAGTACCTAGCTGGGTGACCGCTGGAAAATAATAGGTAGTAAGAGCTTGGGTGTGAGCATGATTTTATGGATAATGTCTAGGAATTGGATATCGAGTTCCAATTCCACTTGGGTTTGTTATATTCACTTACGCTCAAATACCCTTGGGAAGGGTATTTATGCACTTCTTCTCACCGCACCCTAGCTATGGGTTAATTAGTAGAACTTTTTTCCTCCATAAAGAAAATTTCTAACTAAGGTTTGATCTAAATTTCAACGTCAAATCGAAAAATTGTATAAACAAGAACAACGGCAACACGCTAACCGGTTATTGCTCCTCGCTCTGCAGAGCTAAATCGAGGATAAAAATGGTGTGAGTATAAGATCTGCTAGACATGTTTCTCGAAATATGCAACATCTCTTTATTATCAGTTTGTTTTCGCCAATTCCACAATTTCGCTACGCTAAAACCTACCCGTAAAGATGCTTTGCCTATCCATCATATTAAGTCAATGATTTATAGCTTTAAATGCCAGTGTGATGCAGCATATATAGACGGTAATAGTTAGAAGGCAGAAATGAGTATTCATCAGCAGGCTAGGATTCTTAGTAAGCAATATGATAAATACGATTGTCAATGAATCTGGATCTACGATTGCTGTACACTTTATAAGTAATATGATTCGTTACTCTCCTATCGGCAGAGGTGAATAGTATACTTATGAATATGTAAAATATATTCTGTTGAAAAAAATTGTCAAGGACGACACAGTGAACCAACTTTCTTAGCAGCAGACCAAGCAACTGATTCAATATCATTTTTTCACTTCATTTCAGTGGAAAACGTTAGTCTGAAAAGACGCAATGAATCACTCTCCTAAGGTTTAGCATCAGCAATAATGAGAAGATCATAATAAAGCCTAGCATCCCATCGCTTCCAAAGTCTACGTTGCTTGACACTGTATATGTCCTATAAAAAGCTCTTAACTGTCTAAGTTCGTTCGACTTGCTGGAGAAGACCGACAGTGCAAAATTTGCGTTTGAAAAGTAGACGGAAGCAAGAGGCCAGAAGAGCGTTCTACAAGCGTGAAGAACCTGTCAGCATAGAACTTACAGTTACATGTTGACATTTCAACTGTAAAATGACGCTATCTTACCGCTAACAGCAAACCTAGGAATTGACTATTCAATAAAAGAATTAACTAAATATGTCTTTCAGAAAGCAAGATTAATGAATCTGAATATGCACTGAGAAACAAGGAAATAAGTGTTGATATACTTATGTAGAGATAGCAATTGCTTCATGGTAATCACCCCCCCACACACACACACACTTCATATCAGTTGAAAACGTTTGCACTAAAAGGCACAATGAGGCAATTCCCTGGATTTATTAAAATTACAAATTTTCTTATCAGTAAACGAAGCAAATGATTCAATATAATCTTATCATTTCATATCAGTAGAGAGCGTTAACTTAAAATGGCGTAGAGAGTCGTTTTCCTAGAGGTATAGCATCAGCCATGTTGATGGAAGGCAAAAAAAAATTCTTTAAGACAAAAGAGTGCAGTTTCGTATTGAAAAAAATAAAAATAAAGAAACTATTTCTTTCCCCAGATATCAACAGATTGCAGTTCATTCAAGGACCTAGCAATTGATTGATTAATCAATAAACGAATTAGCTAAAGATGTCTTTCAGAAACTAATAAGCTAAAGAAATCTTTCTGAAACTAAGTATTAAAAAACCGAAATACACACTCAGAAGCATAGGAAATAAGTGCTGAACTCCGATGCAATATCTGAACTTTTGCAAGCCAATCTAATACTGCGTTTAAATTCGCAACATCAGAACAATTACTATTAAAGTATTATTAAACAACAAAACTAACACCTTTAAATACACATCAAAATAAAAATGGACTGTGGTTGTTTCCCTCCTTGAAATCCGATAGTATCGTTTAAGGACGTGAAGTAACGTTTTAAAATCCAAATACGGTGACCTTTTCAGTTAAGAATGTACTCGGTGTGTAGCCAATTTGTTGAGGCATTGCTCTTGGAGCAAGAGCAATGTGGTTCTACAAAAAGACGCTCTTCCTGTATGGCAGTGAATGCTGGACAATATCTGTTAATTTATCTTTTTTTTTTTTTTTTTTTAAGCATTTCACCCCAAGCAAGGCGGGAAGCCACTAGGACGCAAGGGGTTACAGAAAATAGGAAGATCAGATAGGAGTGATAGAAGAAAGGATGAGGGTAGTAGATAGATTAAGGCAACTGGAGATGTCGATTGACATTACACTTGAATAGCTGGAGATTATAACTCTCAGGGAAACAGGAGAAGGGAAGAGAGTTCCACAGGCTAGAGGTGCGAGATATGAAGATATTAGAGTAGAAGAGACGGCTACATTTAGGAGTTTCGACAGTGAAGGGGTGAGAGCGGGATGCCAGCCTCGTAGGGCGCTTGAACTCATGAAGTTAGTTATTTATTAGTCAACCAGAGTCTTAAGTGTGGAAGAAGATTGCTATGCGACGAATATTACGCGACCATTATGGTCGCATAGCAATCTACTATGGCATCATAAAAGAATATCATCCTTGATGGTGAATATTTTATATAATATCTTATATAACCACTCTGAAGATTGCTTATGTGAATCGAAAGCTTAGATCAAAGAACAGCTTAATACAAAACTATCTTATGTTGGACAATTTTTGTCTTTATTCTCACCCGAAATTAAAGCAAATATATTGATCTTAGAACAGCTCATGATCAAACATAATAGACATTCATTGTCTGTTATATTTAACAACATGAAGAAAAATAAGTTTTGTTCTTATGTCCATCGTCTTTGTCATGTTGAATTGATAATGTT